AGAAAAACTCCCTTTAACAGGAAGAAACCTCCTGCAGAACCAGGATCAGGACAAGAGACCATCTGCTTTGACCGGCTGGTTGAGAGGACAGGAAGGAGAGACAGACGAACACAGAATGGTAGGTCCAGATATAGGTCCAGGCATAGGCGTCGCAACCATTACATGTAAAGGGGACAAGTCCCCCTCACATTAAAAAAACGTTCATTTGGACCCCTCACTTTTACTATGAAACATTAGTTCAGGCGGCGCAGTTTCTCTTTCTTCGTGAACAAATCATTCCACTTGATTAATAGGAGAATAGTCAATCTAATAAAACTCCACTCCAGGTTTTCCTGGTTACCTCCAGGTTACCTCCACCTCTACACACGGAGCAGAAACTGTGCAGCTGCTGAGTCTCCTGCTTCAGCAGAAAACGCGCACAGGTGCAGGAGATGGAGACACCTCTGTGTTGCTCACTCGCCAGTTTAGCAGCTTAGTGCGGGCAGTGGTTGACCAGGGGGTTGATCATCAACATATATTCATGTTGGGAGGATGCTTGAGTGCAGCGCTACGTCTGTAGCATCTTATCTCAGCAGTAACTGTGACGCTGTGAGACGCTGCAGGTGGAAGAGACTCTGTGTGTTCAGGTGCATTAAAGTTGAAATGTCTTTAAACCCCCACACCTTATTGTCCACGAGCTTCATGACAAACATCATTTAGATGAGGAGTGTTGAACACAAGTAAAAAAGTCCAGTGGTGATGATTTTTATTTCTCTATAGACAAATAGTTTCGACCTGACGCTCTGTGTTAAAGTGTATTAAAGTTAAAATGTCTCTAAAACCCACAGATGAATTTACACAAACTTGATGAGAAACAAGTTTTAAATGTGTGGAATTAAAGGAAATCCAGGTGAAATGTTGCTTTTTGTACATTAGTGCACATTTCTTTTACGCGCGCGCGCACACACCTACACACATCGTTGTGTCCCCCCCACATTACGGATGCTTCTGACGCCCTTGGGTCCAGGTCCAGATATAGGTCCAGGTCCAGATATAGGTCCAGGTCCAGATATAGGTCCAGGTCCAGGTGAACCTGAAAGACAAAAAGACACATGTTAAGGATAGAAAAAATAATTACAAATACAAAACAGGTTGAGCAGAGTAAGTAAAGACAGTAGCAGAGTGAAAAGTGTGGTCAGTTTGTCCTCCAGCAGTCTAAGTCTATAGCAGCAGAACTAAGGGACAGCTCAGGAAACCCAAGCCGACCCTAACTATAGGATTTATCAAAAAGGAAAGTCTTAATCCCAGTTTTAAAACTGGACAATGTGTCAGCCTCATGGACAGAAACTGGAAGTTGGTTCCACAAGAGAGGAGCCTGAGAACTGAAAGATCTTCCTCCCATTCTGCTGCTGGAAACTCTAGGAACCACAAGTAAACCTGCAGTCTGAGAGTGAAGTGCTCTGTTAGGAAACTATGGAACAATAAGATCTGTAATATAAGATGGAGCTAGGTTGTTGAGGGCTTTGTAGGTTAGAAGTAAGATTTTGAATTATATTCTGGATTTGACAGGGAGCCAATGGAGAGAAGCTAAAACTGGAGAGAGATGATCTCTCCCAGTAACTCCAGTTAAGACTCTGGCAGCAGCATGTTGGATCAACTGAAGACGTTTTAAAGAAGTATTTGGACACCCAGATAATAAACCATTGCAATAGTCCAGTCTAGACGTGACAAATGCATGGACCAATTTTTCTGGATCATCTTTAGATCAGATGTTTCTAATGTTAGTGATATTACGCAGGTGGAAGAAGGAGGTTCTAGTAACGTTTTTAATGTGGGGGATAAAAGACATGTCCTGATCAAAAATAACACCAAGATTTTTAACATTAGAGCTGGAGGACAGATTAATGCATCTAAGGAGGGAGAAAGACTGAAACATTCATTCCTAAGGTGCTCAGGTCCAAAAACCAAAACCTCAGTCTTGTCTGTTCAACAGGAGAAAATTAAGGGTCATCCAGGTTTTTATGTCTTTAAGACATGCTTGTAGTCTAAGTAGCTGATTGGATTCATTGGGTTTAATGGACAAATATAATTGTGTGTCATCAGCATAACAATGGAAATTTATCCCATGCTGTTTAATAACTTTACCTAATGGAAGCATATATAAAGTAAAGAGTACTGGCCCAAGCACTGAGCCCTGAGGAACTCCATGACTAACTTTGGTGTATGAAGAATATTTATTATTTACATTTACAAACTGGAATCTATCAGATAGATTTGACTTAAACCATTTTAGAGCTGTTCCTGTAATCCCAACATCATATTCAAGCCTCTGTAGTAAAATATTGTGATCAACTGTATCAAATGCAGCACTGAGGTCTAACAGGACAAGTAGAGACACAAGTCCATTGTCTGAGGCCATGAGAACATCATTAGTGACTTTTACTAGTGCTGTTTCTGTGCTATGATGAGCTCTAAACCCTGACTGAAACTCTTCAAACAGATTATTTATTTGTAGATGTTCACACAACTGACCTGCAACTATTTTCTGTAGAATTTTTGAGATGAAAGTTAGATTAGATATAGATCTATAGTTGGACAGAATTTCTGAATCAAGATCAGACTTCTTAAGTAAAGGTTTAATTACAGCAACCTTAAAGCTCTGTGGTACATAACCATCCATTAAAGACAAATTAAGTAGATCCAAAATGTGGACATTAATTAGGGGAAATACCTCTTTAAATAGTCTGATTGGGATGGGATCTAGCAGGCATGTGGATGGTTTGGATGAGGTTATTATTTTTGACAATTCAGAGCTCAACAGAACAAAAACTGTCCAAACATAAATCAGGCTCTAGTGAAATTTTTAAAGTTGCCTCATCTGACAGGGGACTAGAGATAGTAGAAGGAAGGATGGTTTGAATTTTCTCTCTAATAGAAATAATTTTATTTATAAAGAATCTCATGAAGTCATCACTACTTATAGTTGTAGGGATACATGGTTCAACAGAAATGGGACTTTTAATTAGTCTAGCAATAGTACTAAACAGAAACCTAGGGTTATTTTTATTCTCCTCTATTAAAGATGAGTGATATAAAGTTCTAGCTTTACGGAGAGCTTTTTTATATGTTAGCAGACTATCTTTTTCAAGTTAAATAAAATTCTTCAACATTAGTAGAGCGCCATTTTCTCTCCTGGTTTCTAGATGCTGCTTTAAAGTACGTAACTCAGAATTGAACCAAGGAGCCAGTTTCCTCTGATTGATTACTTTCTTTTTCAGTGGAGCAATTTTATCAAGTGAAGTTTGCATTGAAGTTGTAAGATGATCAACTAGATGATCTAAGTCTCTGTTCTCTGATGCATTACTCTGCAAGACAGAGGAAACATTGATGGAAGAGATTGTTTCAATTTGGTTACAGCATTTTCTGATAAGCACCTGCTGAGATGAAATTTACTCTCAGTGACTGTGTAGTCATTTAATGTAAACTCAAAGTTATTAAAAAATGGTCGGACAGAACAGGATTTTGAGGAACTATTACCAAGTCCTTAATCTCTACACCATAGGTCAGAACTAAATCAAGAGTGTGATGATAAGAATGAGTAGATGTGCGGACGTTTTGGGTAAAACCAAATGAGTCTATTAAATTATTAAAGGCTATGCTTAAACTATCACTCTCAACATCTACATGAATATTGAAATCACCCATTATGATGATTTTATCAGTATTTAATAATAAGTCAGTTAATAATTCTGAGAATTCAGACAAAAACTGAGAGTAAGCGCCTGGTGGACGATATATAACAACTAGTAAAAGTGGCTTTTCTGATTTCCATTTTGTATGAGAAAGACTGAGGGACAGTGATTCAAAAGAATCATAACTAATAACTGGTTTGGCATTAATCAATAATCCTGACTGAAAAATAGAAGCTACTCCTCCACCTCGGCCAGTTGTTCTAGGAACATGAACATTTAAATAATTAACAGGAGTGGATTCATTTATACCAACAAAATCCTCCTGTTGTAGCCAAGTTTCTGTCAGACACAATAAATCAATATGATGATCAGTTATCAGTTCATTAACTAACAGGGATTTAGAGGAAACAGATCTGATGTTCAATAATCCACATTTAATGATTTGATGATTTTGCTCTGGTAAAGTAACTGTGTTTATTTTAATCAGATTTTTATGGTTTATATTTTTAGAGCTGATTTTTGGTTTATTTAATTTGAGCCGTGGGCGAGTTGACACTGTTTCAATGTGGGTGTGGGTGGGTAACAGAGGAGAAGCAGCAGAGAGGTGGAGGACTACAACTCTGCTTCCTGGACTGGACCCTGGGTTTTCAATAATTTGGGGGATCAACAAAATCAGCCATATTTCTAGAAAGAAGAGCGGCTCCATCCAAAGTGGGATGGATGCCATCTCTCCGCATCAGACCAGGTTTTCCCCAGAAAGAACTCCAGTTATCTTTGTAGCCCACGTCGTTGTCAGAACACCACCTGGACACCCAGCGGTTAAACCACGACATACGGCTAAACATGTCATCGCTGGTCAGGTTGGGGAAAATTAAGTTTTCCTTACTTTACTTATACTTACCTCACCTCCTAACTACGCTGCCACCACACTTCCTCATGCTTCATCAAGGATCCCCAACACGATGCACCTTTATTTACTCCGGCAAGTCCCACTGAGATCACGGTCTCTTTTGTGAGGGATGTCAGGGCCTGAAGGCAACCATCCACAAATAATTTGGACTGACAGAACCTGCTGCATTGTAGCAGGAGCATCATCCTAGGGATTTACAATTTATTCTAATATATTTTAATATATTTCTGTTTTGCTAACAGATCTGTAGTTATTCAGTAAATAATTGTGGATGTGCTCCTGACTAAGGCACATTATCCCTGCGTGTGAGTCATTTCCATTAAAAAAACATACTGCAGCTTTAACACCCTGTAGGTTTTCTCTCTTAACTCAGGAAGAGATGAGAGTTGTCGTTGCTAACATCATATCTGCTCAAACAGGGTCTGAATCCCCACATGACTTACTCAGTTGAAGGTAGCAGCAGCTTCGCCATTGTTGGTGGTTACTTGTTCATGACTGAAGATCTCCCAGAGGACACGTTATCTTTGCAAGTAAGTTAACTCTAATATCCAGGTTCATTCTCAATAATCCAGGTAAAAAAAATCCAACAGCGTTCAGTCAGGTCCTCTGGACGGTTCCTTTGTGTTGAAGCGTTTCGTCTTTCATCCTAAAGACATTTTCCACCTGGATTATTGAGCATGAACCTTGATTTTTTTTGAACCACTGGCCATGACTGCCTCAAACGAGTTGGTGGGGGAGAGGGCGGACTCCAGAAACCACCTGAGCACCATCAAACAGGTGCTATCTACAAGACTGAGTTTGTTGTGACTCCTGGGACTGAAGAAGTTTTGTGGAGGAAAGACGAAACGTTTCAACAGAAAGAAACCATCCAGAGGACCTGACTGAACTTTGTTGGATCGACTCTAATGTAATAGTATTTGCTGAGTGGTCAGTCTATTAGATACATAACCCATTTTGAATTTCAGATTTTGGCCAAAGACACATCCAATGATGAGACGGCTACAGCGCAACTCCAAGTAGAGTTGAAGTTAGGTGAGTTCAGAGCTTGGTCTGCTCAGTGCCACAGTATCCTGCACACCACTGACAAAATGTTTCAAGGGTAGGAAGCTTGTTCCTGGTTTTTATCTGAACTGATATATTTTTGTTTCAGGTCAAACCATTTGGGTTTAACTTGTTAACTTTAGTTTAACAATGGCCTGTGGTTGGTCTGCTCTGTTGTCACAAACAACTACAGCTACCGTGAATGTAGTAAAGAAACTTTTCATGCTTTCTTGGGGAAACCGTTTTAATTAGCATTTCTAGCTAAATAGCATCAGCTTGTTAGTATTACTAGTTCCATTTTCTATTTTTATCAAAGTAACAATAGGAGTTACATTTCTGCAGATCAGAGCCAAAAGTTTGGTTAGCATCCAAGAGTGAAGCACGCAAAACAAATCTGCTTCAAAGTATGCTTTCCTCCCAGGTTCCTCCACCACCAGTTTGCCCCTGAGCACTACAGACATTATGACCATAACCTCAGTAGGACAATCCACCAGCAACAGCAAGACGACGCACGAGATCCTGCCCACGACCAACGAGCACAGCAGTCTGTCCACTGGTGTGTCAGCCACCAGCCACAGCCTAACAAGTGAGAACGACCTCTCTGCCACTAATCCCACTGACGAAGGTGCCCGCCCTGCTGGTCCTGCGTTTGAACTAACTGATGAGAACGAGCAGAAAACGATGAGGGATTAAACCGTGCAACATCACTAAATTATTGACTGAACACAGTACACGTTGAGAAGGATCCGTCTAAATGTGGTGGAATCTGAAGTGGCAGACAAGTGTACATGTGAGAGAACTTGTGTCCATGTTGCACAAGAAGATTACTTTGACAAGACGACAACCAACCACAGAGCACTGTTTTTGTCATACGTCACACAAAATGTGAACTAGTAGACAGTTTAAAGGCCACCTCGAGCATTTTTTCAACCAAGAGTGGATCTGAGCTCATACTTTTCCTGATTGTGGCTCATCTTTTAACTCGCACAAGGAAATATAACCATGTTACAAATCTCATAAATCATTTTAAAATCTCTTCAACGGCTGCCAGTCCATTTTAGAATTCATTTAAAAATGATTGTACTTGGTTTAAAACATGTTTAAATGGTCGTGCCCCCCTTTCCTTCTGATCTGCAACAGCCTTACGTGCCTGCCCACTCTCCAGCTGCTCCTGACTGGACCAAAACCAGCTGTAAGCCCAGGGGGCACCGGCTTTGGGGCGGGGGGGATTGTGGAACAAATTGAACAATTTAATCAGCATATAAACAGAAACCCTATTTTTTAAATATTCACTTAAAATTAGTTTAATTCTTTGACTTTCGTTACCTTTAAGACATTGATTTTAAGGTTTAATGTTTTATCATTGTTTTTATTCTTTTATCTTTTTAGTGTTATTGAATTAGTTGTAAATGTCTTATTGTATTGCACTGTACAGCACTTGATGCATAGAGGAGTTTTAAAGGGGTTTAAAATGTACATTTAAATCGAATGATGTCTCAGACAGAGTAAAGCTTCTGTTGAGGATCTAAACAAACATCAGGTATCAAAGTAAAATCTATATTTTGTTGAACACACAATTCTTTCTGTTTTACATCGAATGGAAACTCTTATGGGTCAGGGCTGGCACAAGATTGTAGGGCCTAAACAGAATTTCACTTGGAGCCACCGTGTCCTTCAAGACCATCGTCCACTCGCCACAACACTTTTAACCACTTTTGCTATTGTTCATTATTTTATTTACCCGTTTACCTCTAAAGACAAATGTCCAAAACGTTTTGTTACTTTGTAAAAAGAATGCCTTATAAACCACTGACCAGATCTTATGAAAAGTAATAATGACAGGTGCCTCTACAAGTGATTGACTTTGAGACACAACCAAATTCAAGATGGCCACCACAGCCAATAACAAAAACGGCTATAACTCAATTTTGCAAATATTGAATACAATTGTATATTTTGAGCACTACACATTGTGCAGGACTTTTCTTAAAACGTGGCTATAAATTACGAGTCAACCCCGTTCATCTGTTAGCAAAATATCTACAGCGTGCAAATGTGATCCAGCTCAGTCACAAGAATAAGACAGAACTAATTTATCACGTCATTATCATTCTACTACCTCAATCAACTACTTGGTTTGTTGTGCCTTGGGTAATGTGTAAACCTAAAATGTGGTCCATGTTCACCTTAAAGTATAAAATCTAAGACTTATTGATTTGAAATGGAATAAAAAAAAAACCCACTGAGACACAAAGTGAGTGAAAGAGTTAACCACTGAAGATTAACCATCACAACACCTGCTTCAAAATCCTGAGTTTAACAAATTACTAAAAGTTTTGGACTCAGTCATGGCTGACCATCTTGATTGACATCTGATTCATGGCTGACCATCT